AGACTTCAATGGAACTTATATTACAGGAAGCACTTCATCACGACGTCACCACGTGACGTCAATAATTAGAAAATATACCTTAATGAAAAAGTGAAAAGTTCAACACTACCCCGGGGAAAATTAATTTCAATTTGTAATAATAATTATGTAAAAACATCTCTGTACCATGAAAAGTGATGCTAGAATCCTACTATCACAGAAATAATCATTCAACACTTTCGGACGAAACCTTCCCACAACTTTCACATTTTGTTCATAAGATAAAAAGAATGCATTAATTCCCGTTAACCATACGATTCTAGCAGCACTTTCCAAAAAAAAAATTAGAATGAATTTTCGATAGAAACAAAAATTATGTTTCAAAGTATGCGGCGAAGTGTTGAACTTTTGGATCTTTTTTGTTACGAACAACAGAGGAAAGGCTCATCGGCAAGTAAATACACTCCCTGCTTTAATTTTACGAAAAAATTGTAGAATTATATTACCATACCTTATTCATAAGCTTTATTCCCACATGAATCACACATGATATTCATTGTAAATACTTTTAAACTCCGATTTCTTGTGTTTGTTTACATGAATTTTCGTTACGTTTCATTTCCTCTCTGCTACTGCATGATCAACAGTTATAACGTCACGGGTTTGGTATTTAACCCCTGGGATAACTACAGAGACCCAGAAATGACATAATTCCGTTTATATTATGCCTATACATATTTTGATTCGTTGTTACGACCTTACATCAATCTAAGGTATCGATTTAAAGAAATTGTTATCTCTAAATCTCACGTCACATAGCTTTCTTTGACGTCATATCATATAGGCAAGTAGAATATTTGGTTGTGACCTTAACCTACCTGCGTTGTGTCAAAATTGATGCAACTTTTTCCTAACGTCATTGTTTCTAAGACACAATTTCTTGCCTTTTCAAACTATAAAAAATACCTACTTGATATTTTCAGAATATAGTGATGTGGCCTATTGTAGAAATTACAGCAAGTAATTAATCTCCTTGAAATAGTCTGATATTAGTTACTGATATAAGGGACAGTCTGAGAGGACCAACATTCCATTACTTCAGAGATAAAATCATCTATAGATTTAATTGCTTGCAGTGATTTTTTCAGTCGAATCTTTAATATTAGCAAAACATTTTCAATGATGTTGAGGTCAGTTCCCAAGACCATAATATAAACTGTGAACAAACTTAAGTCGAAATATTAAATCTATATAGCTTTTGAATAATTTTGATAGCAAAATTAATACTTACCATAATATGTTAAATATTCTACAAACCTACAAATTTTTAATATCCTATTATATGTATTATAAATAAAGAGCTATAGAAAATCATAATTTTGACTTAAATCTTTTATCAGTTTTTTTTTCTTGGGGTCACGTGATTGTGATGGCAAGTCAAGACAATCTGAATGATTCTCACATTTCCAAGATGTAGTCATTCGCGAGGCATTGCAAGTGACATTGTCATCCAGGAAAAAAAAATGAATTTCCAAAATGTTTTGCCCAGAAATGTTCATCCAGAGTCAGTATATCTATAAACCTCTCAAAGTTCATATTTCCAGTTATTGGAACTTATTTTCCTCCTCCAGAATAAGTCAGATTTCTCGCTCAACTTTACTTTATGTCCATGTTGAACAACACACTCTGGACACTGAGTTCTCCACACATACAGTACAGACAATTTCCATTTGATCACGATCTTAGATTCATTTGAAAAAAATTACTTTTCTCCAATAGTCATCAATTTTTAATGTGTTTACAAAATTGAACACGGTCTTTTTTGGTTAACGTCGAACACAGTGAAGGTCTTCCTAACGTTGTGTTATAAAGTCCAAGAGAATGAAGAACAGTCCTAACAGACACTTTGTGCGTAACATATTGGTTAAAATTATCCAAATTAATATTATATCAAAGTCTGTCTTCTATTCTTCTTCACTGTCTTAATTCTGTCACCCCTTACATCAATCAGCCTCTTCCTACCTTTATTTGAGCTCTTTCCCATACCTTCCCCATAATTAGATTTCTTCACAAGCCTAGAAATTGTTGACTTAATCAAAGAAAATGTTTTTGTCAAATCACTTTGTTTTTTCACCTCGTAGGTACAAATCTAAACCAGTTTTCTGTGCTCCTCTGACATTTATTGTCTGTTCTCCATTGTTTACAATGAACACTCTAGCAAGTTAAAACAAGGGAGGTAACTGAAACTGGGTACAAGGGGAAATCATACCCCATATAATTTGTATCAACCCTAATTGATTTAAAAAGTGAGTTTATTTAGAATTACATCTCAAAATGCATAGAGAATAAAAACAAACATAAAAAGCTTCGTGAAAAGTTGCATCAATTTTTGCACATCACTCTACCTGTACAGGTTAAAACAGCAGTTATTACTTCTGTCCTGTACATTCACGAGTAAGGCACAATGGAAAAAATTCTTAAGAAATTCATATAGCAGTTTACTTTTGACCTATGTGACAGTATGTAACCATAGGGTCTTACAGGACTAGATTCAAATTCACACAGCAGTTAACTTCTGGCCTGTGTGGTTAACACAAAGGAAACAAATTGAGACAAAAAATACAGAAGGATCCACCAAACATAATATATTTAATGCTGATGCTTTACAAATTAACATCGTAATACAGTGGCTGCAACGTTATTGTTGACAAACCAATCGTGTACAATCGTTCGTGTAACGTGCAAGATCGTGCGTGTATCAGACTCATTCGTTTGCAGTTTTAATCGTGCGTGATCGTGCGTAAAGAAACGTGTAAATTTCCTTTTGTAAGTTTTTATTGGAATGTTTTTGTTTAATATACATTTGGCGTTTAAAATAAAATAAATGAAGCGCGACTTACATAATAAAAATTGGAACGAACTAATTATCGCTGTTAAGGTGTTTCCATCCTCACAATTTTATAGGTTCAGAGTACAAAAACTGCATTTATTTTCATTAAATATGCTTTAAACTTTTCAATTATTGCAAAGAGGTATAGGTCACCATATTATTAAAGATGCGAAACATAAATAAACAGAAGTGTATGTCAATATAAAAAATCGAACTTTTTTGTGAACAGTATTACGAAAAATATGTAAAAACTGGTTAAAATGCATATTTCTGATGCTGAGTGTTCCTAAATAGGTACTTCCTACTTTAAAAAAATTGAATTGTGAATGTCAGGGATCAATAAAGCAAATGCCTGAATGAAAAGACTATAGAAGGAATTATTGCCCTTTTCAACATAATTATTTTAAAGATTGAATAATTGATTAAATATAAAAAAATATGCATTTTTTAAAATTCTTTAACTTTACAATATTTATCATTACACCTATTGTAAAGCATTCTTCCAAGAGATACTGTTGTTTTAGTTATGAATTAAAACTAATAACAGTTTTTGAATAAAACCTATGACATCATAGAAGGGTGGAATTACTTTAATAAGTAATATAGAAAGTCATACATTGTTATGTTCTTATTAATGCTAATAGCGTGATTTTTTGTGATAAACCGTACTTAGAAGTGTAACCGTTTTTTTTCTTTGATGTTCATTGCGTTTACTGGTAATTAATTAAGGTCAAGATATTTTTTAAATAAAGACATCCAAATTTATATTTTTACATATAAATAAATAAACAATTCTTACATCAATATTTATTCGGCGTATGTTTTTTTTACGCGACATGATTGTCAGAGTTTCCTCTACCGGTGTTTATATACGGGGCTTATACGTTCAATCATTTTCAATTTGAAATTTCTTAATAAAAAATGATTTCTAAAATGTTGAATTTCAGAGATTAACAAATGAAAACAAAGATATACGCATAAATTCTGATCAAATTCATCTTAATATCTTTTTTTTTTCAATCTTATCCCCCTTACCGCGCATTAAGAAATCTAATTCAATCAAAATTCACGGTCCGCCTACATGTAAATCTTCTAAAAGAAGAAGGAAATTCAGTCTTCTTAAGTCGAAGATTTACGTATTTAATATTTCTTTTTAAGCTAAAACTATTGAAAAGATATAAATAGGCAAATAATTCTTTTCAATTAGAAATAATTGGTAAGTCATACATAGATGTATGTACTTCCAGAAACGCCCAGTTCATTTTTTAAAATATTTTTTCATTCAATGAAATAATAAAAATAATTATTTGAACCTTATATAAAGGAATTTTGTCTTTTTTCGTTTTGAGAATATATCATTTTTAAATATTTTGAACCATTCTGCGTGAAGAATCGTGCATTTGATATCGTGTAAGATCGTGTAACGTGTAGAATCGTCTGCGTGAAGGATCGTTCCTGTAACAGGTTGTATCGTGCGTTAATCGTGCGGAGTAGTTCGTGTAACGTGATCGTGCATGTAGGTTGTTAACAATAACGCTGCAGCCACTGTAACAAAGCTTTGCAAACGGATATATTTCCATACAGCATATGAATTTCACCTGCCTATTTTCTGTATGCAATTCTTTGAAAAATCTTGATGGGCTGCCTGAATTGCATCTCCCATGCGAAAGCTATGACTTTTATAGAGGGTAGGGTGTACGCTAATGAATAAGACTGTTGTGTAAATATCTGGAAACAAACGCATAATTAACTGGGTCACCTCCCATGAATTTGAAGAGGGGACAAGACTGCTAATTGAAGGCTTCAAGATTGAGATATAATGCCAAAAAAGGCATATGTCAGTGTTATCCAAAACTTTCATGTGAATCTGGAACGATTAAACGGGTCTTTTTTATTTGTTTTGAAATTTCTCTTTAACAAGGTAACTGCAGATGGGGACTTATTGGAAAATTCATATTAAACTTCTTCTCTTTGAATGACTGTGTTCAGCGAACCATTGGTTTTTAACACGAGTTGACCCAAGCGCAAAAAGACTTGAAATGCGAATCGAAAAATGGCCTTTAACAATTTTCTATAGATTAGATTTTGCACTCATTTATGTAAACACTTAAGTTATGTAGAATGGGACCAATTAATGGAACTTGGTGTCTTTGTTAGTACATGTAGCCAAATGGTGACATCCTTTCACTATTTTGCAAACCGATGATGACTCTGATGAATCTGAAAGACCAAGAATTTTACATAACTTACATAACGTACATAACTTATAGCTGATAAATAAGATAATGGGCTACTTGGGGAATATTTAACGGTACATGTAACAATGAGGTTGGATGTCACTAAATGGAATATTGGTAGTGAGGTCACGGTGGGTTTGAACTGTAGCAACAAATTCCAACCTCTTTTGTAGGAAGACTTGGTTTTGTTCGTCAAGGCTGCTGACAGAAGGTGGTATGCTTGCTGACTTAAATTGCTGAGGACTTCACTGGTATTGACGTCTGCTGGTGGTTTAATCGTGGTCTGGAAATGAACACAGTCTTAAAATTAAAACGAGATGATACGCAGCTATGTTGTGCTTCCTGGGGATGTTTTTCGCTCTGATATGCACATTTTATCTTAATAGCTATTTGATATTTTGTCATGTGATCAGTTTAAGGTGATGCAAAGCATTCATAAACAAGATGGCTGCGATCGAACCCTATAGATTCAGCAGCATCCGTAAATCGTATATAGAGTAAAGTGATCAAGCAGTAATTTTTGGGGACTGAAAACAGATTTCTCCTTGAATGAATCGAGAACGATTAGCCAAGTGTTTATATCTGCTTTTGTTCTTCTGTTAGGTTAATTAACTGATAATTAAGGCTTTGAATTTACAATTTAGGTCAATTAAAAGTTTATGGAAAGTCATACCTGGATTTACCACTGAGGATTCAAAATTGAGCAATCCTAGACTGTAGATAATGTAATGTGATATGTGCTTTGTTCTTCATTTCTCTTAAGTTTTTCCTTATTTTTCTGCTTTGTTAGGAGGTAGACGTGCCTCCATTTTGCCCGGGTCAATTTCTATGCCTTTAATAAAAATTATAGTAGTGGGGGGTCTGTCTTTGACATTTTAATGGGTACCCCATTTTTGCAAAGGAAAAGAAAATTTGTGAGATCGTTCTTGCAATTGTCAGAGTCAGCGGGACCAACGAAGAAAAATCATCAAGAATATATGACATACTCCCAAGCTTGATATCTAAATTACATTTTCCACTGTAATGCAATTCTAAATTGATCAAAAATTCGACAGAAACTACTAGTCCCCTTTGCAAAAATTCATCAAAAATGAATTGGCCTCGCCATGAAGAATACAACAAATGTTAGTCATTTGGATTGACTATGATAATTCTAAAAGTCTTGAAAATCTGTTCTTGCCATGGGACAATTGCAATGGGCTCAATTCATGTATCTTGTTAGACAAGATGCATAACCCAGTCAATGGAGTAATATTGTTCAAATGAATTTTCTTTAAAATATAAAAATTGACTGGATTTCCCGAGGATAAGATGTCATAAATAATTCGGAATTGCCCGGTTTCATACTTGGGCAACACCCTATAGGGGATGATACGCAGAAATCAAATAAAGGATAAGAAAAGTTGCCTGCAATGTCATTCAGCTCTAAGCTTTTGTGGATATGTGCACTTATGACATCACCATGATTCAATGCTGAAAAATGGTTATGGGACAAAGGGAAAGATGGTGTAGAGTTACATGTACAACTTAGATAAAAACCAAATTTGAGACTTTCTGCTGATAGATGTTTACAGATTTTTGTCATAACCCTCTAATTCTTCACTAAGTTTGTTTTGGTTTACTGGTAACAGGTTGGTTCTCCCCGATTTAATGCAATATATACCGATTCATTTATTTAAATAGATAAACTTACTTAGGTACTTTTCCTCTTCGTCCCCGATGGAACATAAGGCTTCAACAAGCTGCCTCTATCTTCCTCTATCCTTTGCCACATACTGTGCCTGCCCTCACGAGTAGCCCATTTCCTCTAACTCTGATTTTACGGTTTCTTCTCCATGTTGTTCTTGGTCTACCTCGCTTCCTCTTTCCAGATTGTGTCCAAAGAAAGGCTGTTTTGGGTATCCTGCTCTGGGGCATTCTCATCACGAAGATAAATAAGTAGGGCCTATATAAAAAAAGACAAAACAAATTTATATTTCCCCATAGTTTTTCAGTTTGAAAAAAATAGTTTATTCATGGATATCGATGAATACAGAGCTCCAAATAATTGTAGCCATTGTAAAATGTTGTGGTATATTGAATAAACTTCCTTATAGATATACATGTTTGTTAAAATCGGGCGGCCTCTTTAATGTTTATTTAGCTGCTCAACATTAGACTGCTGGTCAAGCGATCACCGGACAAGCAGACATTAATAAATATGGGTAAACTCAATTGGGACGAATCCACTCAGAGCGAACAAGGAAAGGGAGCGAAACCACCTGCATTCGGTTAACTGTCGTGGGAAAGTGCGTGACTCTGTTGATTGTTGAGACCTGCATTTGTGTTTTGGGTGCTGTACCCTGCATATTTGACTGATGTGAAGGGACATGGTGGCTTTATATTTGTCATCTTATTTAACAGTGAAGCAGGATTTAAAACTCCCCGTCTGCTTGGTACGGAAGATCTGACTGTATAAGGCAGGTGCATTTAGATACATTTTACCCTCAATTCATCAACTTGTTTTGCCAGGGAAGTTCAGCTGTTTGTTTCTGAAATTCTAAAATACTTGCCATAAGCACCCCCCCCCCCCCCCCCCGGCTGAATCACCATGTGATTTGTAAAGTTGCCTCACAAAACTCATGTATTTTTATACGTTCGGGGCCTCTGATGGATCTTTTTTTCAATTGTAACGCACACAGAAACTAAAAAGGCATCAGTCCACTGATTAATTTGTTAATGGATTTTTCGTCTTTGGATTTTGTTGCAAATTGATCAGACCTGGGGATATTGACAAAGTAAGAAGGTTTCCCTTATAGTGCGGCAAAGACACCGTAAAAATCATAAACTAATTTGACCAATTTTTGGATTTCACTTTAGATGATATTGCCGCAAAGAGAGTAATCCCGTCATTTACAGAAATGAATGGTTTATCGTTGTTCACATTAGACTGGTTCAATTTCATTTGTGAGCAAAAAAAACCCGAAATTTTCAACACATTCATATTGTTTGTATTCTGTTTGTATAATTAGGAAAGCATCAATTGAGTTGTTGATATATTTTGAATTCAATCCTTCATTATATTTAATACAATAAAATAATTAAACTATACATCACAATTTATACAACAACAAAAGATCCATGGCCACGTCGCTCACCTGAGCAATATGGCTAGGAAATAATCAGAAAAAAGTTTATTACTTAAAAGTTCCCAACCAATCCTTAGAGTATGAATTGATTCATTGGTATCGTAGAAAGAGTATGATTTGAACAAACTTGAATCTAAACTAACTAAGGATGCTTGCATATTTCTCTGACTACATGTGGCTTTATTGCCCTTTACATTTGAACTTACACTGTGGCACAGCCGTACCAAGAGGGGTCAAGCTTAAAGCAAAATTGAATCTATACTACCTGAGAATGCCTCCATATGAACATGACTTATCATGGCTTTGCTATTCTTGAAAAGAAGATTTTTAAAGATTTTCTTTTTTTTTTTTTTACATTTTCTATGTAAAACGTGGATTCCATGTTTTGACCCTGCCCTACCCTCAAGGTCATGATTTGAACAAAATGGAATGTTCACTACCAGAGGATGCTTCCATAAACATATGATCAATTATGCCTTTGCTATTCTTGGGAAGGATATTTCTAAAGAATTTCCCTATATATTTCTATGTAAAACTTTGATCGGCTATTGTGGCCCCGCCTTACCCCCTGGATCATGATTTGAACAAGCATGAATCTCAACTACCTGAGGATGATTCCAGTGTAATCTACTTGTGTGCCAAGTAATACTGAATTCAGACAAAAACTAGTATGTTGAAAAATTGTTTAAAGATTGACAGACAGCTAGACAGACAGACGGCTGGGGGAATGACGGACAACTTACTATCGCATAAGACAGGAACAGCAAAAACCATTTTTGAAATAGCTTCAAGTTTAAAAGTTATTTTATTATTGGGTGCTTCTCTTTCATATTGTTACATTTAATTTCATTAACTAGACATTGGTGAACCAAAAACAAAAATGATTTTTTTTTTCACAGAAAGAGGATGTTTCATTGAATTTGATTGAATTAAAAGAGAGAGAGAGAGAGAGAGAGAGAGAGAGAGTTCTGGTAATTTATTAATGCAAGGTAATATAATTATTATTAAATAGTTCTTATCTCTACAATAGAGGTTTAGTGACACGTTATTGAATAAACTTGTAAGGTAACGTAATCATGCAATTGCTGTGTTCTTCTACATCAAGACGTCAAATCTGATGTGAAGTTACAAGTTTAAAAGCTGCAATGAATTGACTATACTATACGTTCGACATCAACGAGTATCGATATAATTTTTAATTTCCTGATTCAGTTGATTGAATTCTCATCAAAGTCCTTTGTTGCTGTTCTTTGTTGTTTTTATTCAGCAATGACGGTTACTATAACAAGCAGCATTTTATTTTTTGTACGAAAAATTCATTTTCAAAAAAAAATAACCGCCAATGTTTCCAAAACAAAAAATCCTTGGTGTTGACTTTTTCTTCTTACTATTGTTTTTTTTTAATTGAGACCCATTCTAACACTTCTGTAATCTTTATTTCATATTTCAAATAAAATATTTTCAATAAAATAATGCCATTTCAGGACGACAAAAACAATACCTCTTCTCCACTGACAAACTAGTAAGAGATTGTGAAAAGCACTAGGTATTTACCAAAATATCACCCCTTACCTAATAAGGCATGCGTATATGTTGGTGGTAGGTTTTAATAAGAAAAATATATAACAATAATTTAATTTTGGTTATATTCTAGTCTCTCATTGGTTGATTTCCAAAAAGGAACACAAGAATAAAAGGTAATAACCTGGTTTGGTATGGGGACACACCCCCTTGACAACCAGCTGATTCATCTGTATCGATGCAATCCCGCATTTCCAGTCCATGGAATTACATGGAAAATTCTACATTTGATAAATGTACTTTTAATTTCAAACAGTAGATCGCTCTTACCTCGTGTAAACAAACATCATGGCTGCTAGGGCTGTGTATCAGTGATTACGTCCCCTTGTTTCAAATCACTTCCGTTACTAGGGATGTATTATTGAGCGGCAAATTTGAACTCATAAAAAGCAGCACAATTTTACATCCACAGTTGTTTAATTATTTAAAAATTAAATTATAAGGAATGACTCTAATTCTTGGCCAAATTATTCGATTATAACCTGGTTTGGGTCAGTTTACGCTTTTTTATAATCCGCTTCGCGGATTATAAAGCGTAAGCTGACCCAAACCAGGTTATAATCGAATAATTTGGCCAAGAATTAGAGTCAT